AAGCAGAAGGACTTCATAGAATGGCTACCGACATGATTTAAAATCAACAGCGTCACCATAAATTGACTATTGCCGCTCAAATTTGTCGAAAGCTACATTTTTGCATACTGTATGTTATAATTCGTGTAAGCAAAAACAAAATCGGAATAATGACCACCACGAACAATATCATTTATCGTATCAATTCTTCCATATGATGAACAAAGGTTACAACCACAAAGCTTTACTAACCTCCTGGAGTCTCCTCTATTCAACCGATCAATCTCAAACAGCAATGCGCGCCGCGTTTCAGTGGCAATAAGAAGTGCTCGTTGCGCGTCAACCTTCAAGCAAAATCTTCATCAGAAAAAAGCGAAAAAATTTTGGTTTCTGACCTCTTCTCGGCTTCCGCGAAACTCTGTACGCTCTTTGCAATACCGAAGCGCTTGCATGGCTTGCGCTATTCTTTGCTGTTGTACAGAAATCTCACGTTCCATAAGCGTCTATGAACACAACATTATGATAAATAGTGAAAAACTCAGCAAAAATTACTTTTCTCTCAGTCTTAGCATGTCCACTCTCTTCATCATCACCGTAACTGCCATTTCCGATGATAGTCTGCTGATGTGCAGTAGAAACATCAGTGGTCAAATCAATTCTTTCTACTCCGGTATCCGCAGCCCTCAATTCTCTCATGCGTTTGCGATAAAACGACACCGTATAAGGCAAGAGTGATTCTGAATAAAAGTCTTAGTCTCGTCAGAATCTAATTCGAACGCAACAATTACCTTTGCTCGAATCTCCTTTATCTTGCCTATCACTAGAACTCTCAGTTGGAATGAACACTGGATCTTCCTTGGTATCGGGTGGTACAGGCAATGAACATGAGACTTCTTTCATAGGTGAGAACATCTCCTGTAACTTCAAGAATATCGAAAATTGGCGATGCATTTTGGTGAGTCGCACAATTTCCAAAAAAAAAAAGAGAAGATATCCTCTACTAGAACACATGGTTATACCAGTAGACAAGCACAGAAGAATTCAGTAATGTAATGTACAAAGCTCAAACCTCCTCAGCAGTCGGTGCTAGACCTTCTGGCACTTTTGTCGGTGTATCACCATACTTATTTGGTGTCCTATCCATAAAATCGAATGCTTTATCGATCATATGAGAAACACTATGTGACTCGTTCATCTCATCATTCGACCCCTAAGAATTATGCAGTGGAGAAAAAAGAGCAAACACAGTCTTAATTTGTACACCGTACCTCATCATCTCCAAAAACATTGGCCTCTTCTGCAGAGTCTGGTTGTTCG